CTCTATGACACAACACAGGACTCTGTGACTTCACACAGGCATCTGTGACATCACACAGGACACTGTGACATCACACAGGACTCTGTGACATCACACAGAACTCTCTGATTTGATAAAAGACTCTGTGACTTCACATAGGACACTGTGACTTCACACAGGACACTATGACTTCAATAAAGCACGGATTGCTAAAGCTGTAAGGCAAATGTCTGTATCCAGTTGGTGGTATGGTAGAAAGAACAACTATTGCTAAATATAAGTAAACAGATTTAGATCTTGTAGAAAGATCAGAGTGGGTATAGGTTGAACATACTTACTAGAGATGAAAATGGTGGAGGGACCACCAGGGAGCATGGTAATAGAGCATGGTTCTAGAGCTGGAATCAAAGGTAAACTCACTGCTCTTAGGCCATGAAACTTCAGCCAGGTTCTAAACTCCTTGACTTCCATACCCCTCCCATTTTGGCTTTAGGTTGCCACATCAGTGTCCATGGAAATTTCTGTCCCACCCAGTCACTCAGCTATTTAGTGCCAAATAAACACACAGATGTTTATATTAATCATAAACTGTTTGGCTGATAGCTACAACTTCTTATTGGCTAGCTCTCTCTTAATTATTAACCCATTTCTATTAATCTGTGTTTTTCTATATGGTTACCAGAGAATGTCCAGGAGTCCTAGCTTCTTGGTAGCTACATGGTGTCTCCTGGACTCCACCTACTCCCTTTCTCTATCCACCTGGCTAAATCCTGTTTGTTGATTGGCTAAAACACCTTTATTCATCAACCAATAAGAAAAACACATATTCACAGCATATAGGCAGACATTCTCCATCACATCAGCTGTATAAGTCTGGACCAAATTTCTAAGCAGCTCTGTAGTAGAGAGACTGTATGGTTTGTACATGGTAGGTTCTGTCAGGAGGTTTATTTGACAGAAGTGGTTGGCACCTGAGGACAATGACCTAGTCAATAGCTAAATCTCTGATAAAATCCCAATTTAATAGCATCAACAGGAGGAAATCTAGTTGAAGGAAGTAGGTCATAGAGCACACCCTGGAAAAATACAGGTAGTCTCCACCCTAATACACCTCCCTGCTTCTTGTCCACACAAAGTTGAGTGACTTTGCTCTATCACACCATCAGCCATGGTGTTCTGTCTCATCACAGCCCACAAATGACAAAGCAAACCAATCATGAACTGAAAATTCAGACACTATGAGCCAGGAAAAATCTTCTGCCTTTACTATTTATATAGGTGTTTTCTCACTGCACAGCAAAGACTCTAACACATGTGGATGTAAAGTCTATGTGCCATGTTTTGAATTCTATGTCAGAGCTGCCTGTGTGAGATGCCCATATTAGAGCATGGATATGAGATATCCCATACAGTTTAGGAGACTGCCTGGTCACACATTGACCTTGCCTTCTTCAAGTCTCCCCATCCAGGTGTTAGACAAACATAAATACCCCAAATTCCAATAACTTGGGCAACTAGCTCTATCTTAATCCCACCCTGATCTTTTCAGTACCTCCATGTCAGGGTATATTCAATCACACTATGAACCCCAAATTTGCATTTGCATTAATTAAATAAAATTAACCTTAGGTCACGAGGCTGAGTTAACAACTATGTAACAGAAAGTAATCATGGAGCATCAGAGGGCATTTGGAAACAATAAAAAGACTCCGTGGAAGTAGTAGGGAGGGGCTTTGAGTGTCCAGGCTTTTTCTGTTTTGGTGAAGCAGAAGGATGTGCTTTGTGGGATATATATATGCTATGGAGACATGGGGAGTCAGATGTATAGAATTTTTAAAAAGATAAAAAGCCACATGGTAAAATGTAGATTAATAGAAGCAAGTTAATTTAAGTTATATTAGCTAGTGGAACAAGCCTAAGCTAAGGCCTACCTTTCAAAATTCATGTGTGTCATTATTTGGGAGCTGGCTGGCTGGGCAGAGAGACTGGTTATGCCTCTAAGTTCATTATTTTCATCTTATTATTATGCAAGTGTTCACAAAAGTGCATCACAAGGCTATATTCTAGTAAAACACATAACAACTTGTCCTTTGATGCCTCAAAGATCTGGCAGGAGTTTATTTACTCCTCATGTTTAATCCTGTGTAAAACATGTACAGAGTACCATTAACATAAGTAAACTCATCCATATCCCCTTATCGAAATGCCATCACCATGTAGCTCACACCTGTAATTCTAGCACTCGAGAGGCTTAGGCAGGAGGATTGCTGAGAGTTCAGGCACAAGCAAACAAAAAGTCTTAAGGCCATCATCAAGCAGCAGTCAGGAATTTCTCACAAAGAGTTTTTAGTAAGCAGAGAGAATTCATAACTTCCACACACATTTTGGGACAATTAGCAGTCAAGCAGAAAACTGATGCCCACAGAACCCAGAGTTCTTGCAACCCAGAAGAGGTTGACATCCTCTAGGTTGAAGATATGAGCTTCAATCTACTGAGAAGACATAGGGAAATTTAAACAAACTTCATAAAAAACAGCCTAGGCTGTTCTAGAATAGTTAAACCCCAACTCCAGAACTAGGTGTGGTGTGATGATAGAGGCTTGCTTGTAATCTCAGGACTTGGGAGGTGGAGGCAGGGAGATCAGGAGTTCAAGGATACTTTCAGCTACATAGTGGGTAAGATCAACTCTAGCAAGGGCTGCATGTGACTCCTCATCAAAAACAAGGAAAAAGAAGAAAGGAAAGGAAGAACCCCAGGTCTGCAGAGAAAGCATCTGGGTTCAGATCTGGCCCTGCAAATCTCGACTCAGCCACACAGCTCTTCCTCATTAGTGGGCATGAGAGTACTGCCCATCTCACTCAGGGGACAGGTAAATGCAAAGTAGCTAGAAGTCATCTGGTGTCTAAGTGAGAATCCAAGGGTTGACTACTAGCTGTGCTTGTGATAACTGCTCACATAGCTGAGAGCTGACTTTCTGAATCAGCCTCACATTAGTCATCAAAGTTTTCGAGTTGTGATCAAACAAAACCACCAGACCGATCAATCATCATGAGAATAGGAAAATCCATGGAACACATCTTCTGTTTCATTAATAAATTCTCTAAATGAGTTTCCCTTCTAAGAAATACAACATTAATGTAACATGTATGTAAATCTGACTTTTGGTCAGCTGTCGCTGTTGTCACTTGGTCCTCTAAGATATGATATATACAACTCTTCACTGCACTGATGACCTGTAAGTGTGGGTCAGTGGGATGGAATGCTTTCTAGTGGTCTTTACCTCATCAGAAGACTTTCTCCACTAGCAATAGACCCCAGAGGCCACTAACAATCTCAGGAAGAATTCGTTTGCATTTAACAAATAGACAGGTGTGTGGTGACCAAACACTATAGTGGCTGTATTCTACATGCTAAGAATTGCAAAGAAAGCTGACAATAGATCCTACTGCCATTCCTGATTAATGAACTCCAGCACCAGAGAGGACTACAAACAAATATGACTGGATTTACCCTGCCATACAATACTAAAAATCATCAGAGTGACTTTAGTAATTCCTTGAAAAACATATCTCTATTAAAGTTTTCAAGAATTTATATTGGTTATATCTGACATCATGTCATCTGACACATAAATGAGCTACAAGTCTTTTTTATTACATGTCATCGTTCCAGGCCAGAGTCAACACTGAAAGGAGATGAACACTGTCATATAAGAGTGGAATTGGGTTGTCCAGTCCAGTGTTTACAGGTGAGGGTTCGCTTTAACAGTTATACCGCTAAACCAAGTTCGCTCTAAAGCATTGTAAGATAAAGGATTTCACATGCATATGCTACCCAAAGTGATGTTTTCTGGATTTAAAAAAAGAGTTTAAATTCACCTCCTCAAAATAAACAATGCAAATCTTATCAATTCCAGAGAAATCAAACACACAAATTCCTCGAATTTCAGAAGAATACACATTTAGTCACTGTGTAGTCAAAGTTTGAGATACAATGACACCCTGGCCCTGTTCATAGTATGTGACCTGTGCCATACCAGGTAGTTGACTTAATTTCACAGAGGACAAAATATTGAAATGTAAAGTGAAACCCAAACGCTATTTTTCTTACAAGAAGAAGTGAAGCTTAGAAAAGGTATGAGTGGCTTCGGGGTATTTCTCTACACCACTTTTTCTATTATATTATATTCATATTTCAGAAAAGCAAAGGAGAGGGAATGCAGAACTGTTCAAAGGGCTCTTCTGTCTGCTCATAACTGCTGAGGAGCAGAACAGAAAAAGCAGAGTTAGAGCGGGCTTTCTCCAGCAGACGGATGGAGTAAGACCGTGGAGAAACTTCTCCAGCCAGTTAAGTAGACCAGGATATTAGACTTCTCAGAACTCCTCCCAACACGCCACATGATGACCAAGAAAAGGCATTTCTCTGTCTTGCCCATTTCTAATGCAGAAAGATTTCCCCCCTGTGCCCCTTCCTCCTAACTGTCCAACTAACCACACAAGTGTCTCTCCTCAGCCGCCCACACATGCATTACTGGCTCCTCGCCTCTCTCAACAGATCTTTGAAACAGCCCATTCTTTGGACTTCATCATACAAAAGGAAGTATGCAGAAACACATTGATTCTAAAAGAAAAAGTCAAGATAGTTCCCTTTCGAAGGGGTTTCATGCAAAAACCTTGTAGAAAGTCGGCAATTACACCCCGTATATGAAATATGCACTCAAACTCGGGGGCTGGGTGTCTGTCAGGTGCTTGGAAAATATCAGGCTGAAAGCACTGGACCCTCCCTCAGTGACAGTAGTTCTGGGCGGTGGCGCTCCCTGAGGTCTAGTGTGTTATAATGTTCCCGCCCCGTAGCAGGTCAGTGACATCCTCAAGTTCTCATGCCTAGTGCCTGGCAGCACCCCATCCCTCCATCGCTTCCCAGAGAGACCTGGTCTCTGCCTTTACGGTGGTGTCCCTTGGGTAGGGCGGGGGGGGGGGGCGCACGGCTCTCAGCTGCTGTCTGCACAGGAACCACTTACATGCCGGGCTGAAGCTGTAGGGCGCTTCCTGGCGGCCAGCGGTCGGCGGCCCAGACACAGAAGCACCAGAACCACAGTGGGGAGGTCATCTCGATGAGGCTGAGCCAGGGAGGCCGCCGCCCCAACTGCGCGCGGTGCGCTGCTCCCAATCTGCAAGTCCGAATCCCGCGCAGAAGTTGGGCTCGCTAGGCAGAAGTTGCAAGTGCCGGGCTAGCTCTCGAGGACCGCAAAGTGCGTCTTGCAGCGGAGGGCGCGGCAGCAGCTCGACCCCAGCAGGCTACACAGGCAACAGCGAGAGCCCGCTAGTAGTGACCGGCCATCCCAACCCCAGGCGCTCTAGCCCTAGAGCTGCGCAGTCCCTGCATTGCCGGAGACAACTGGAGACCCAGGATCCCAGCGGTCCTGCAGCCCCCGCAGCCCTGCTACCATGGCAACGCGCTCGCCGCCCTCTGGCCCCAGCCCCTCCGGAGCGCTTAAAGAGACAGCCCCCTGGCCACTACGCTCTCCTTGCGCTGCAGGGCTCCCCCCACCCCCACGCCCTCTTCACCCTCTCTTCTCCAAAGGGCGCCGGGCGGTGGCTCGGGAAGCATCTGGCACCTCACATCATGTTCTTCCACCAATAATCCACACAACTCTACTCCCAACCTTTTCCTCCAAATCCTTTGAGCATCCTCCGCCCCAAGCCAGCAAAGATGCTAAACAGTGCCGGCTTTCCCTCTCCAACACCAGCCTGCTTAGGACCAGCCAGCTGCTCATCTGCCACCAGCAGAGAGCAAAGCAAGCAGACTTTTGATTCCCTCTTGCTCAGCTCCCTCCCACCTGGAGGCTGTGAGGACAGTCTGAGCACAGCTCTCGGGAGGTAAGCTTGAAGTGGGGAAGGAATTGCAGTTGACCGAGTCCAGTCTGCTGCCAAATCGACAGTTGCTGCACACATCGCTGGCGCATCCAAAAGTCCTGGATATTCAAAATGAGATAATCTCCCTCTGCTGTATTTGGCCACTACCACACTCATATTAGGCACCAAGAGTTTTAAGAGGCACCGGCTCTTCTCCAAACCTAGCCCCTCCTTCCTTCAAACCAGCTCCGGGTGCCTAAAATCCGCAGAGCAACCTCCAGTTGCTAGTCCCCATGGTCCTTCCAGAAGGGAGCAGCGTCTGCTCCAGTAGGCAAGCTTAGGCTGTTTTACTGGCCAGCACTGCCAGGGACGCACAGCCAAAAGCAGAGAGAAGCGGAGAGGAGTGGTAGGCAATAGCTTCTAGGGCCTGAGGTTATGCCTCTGCCCGGCGCCAGCTGCTGTCTGGAAGGCCACAAGCCTTTGGGAGTGTGTTTTCTGAAAATAAAAATCTATGGCGCGTCATGCCCTCCAACAAGGACAGTCCTGGCTTGGAAGCCATCATCGGCAGTTAAGCACCAACAAAACATACAGCAATTTGCAGGGGGACAACTTTTCCTTTTACTCCTAAACTTAGCAAAAGTGGCTCTCCATAGCCTTGTTCCTTGTCAAATACTTAGGGTGGTACTACCTGGCTTTCTCGCTCTTGGAGTTATAAACGAGTCTTTCTTGAAAAATGTTTTGTGTTTCCTCTTGCCCACCGTGGTTGAATTCATCACTGCCCCCTTAGTTTGCGTCTTTCAAACCAATGTTCCCTTATTTCTTTTAGCTTTTCTGACACTGAGAAAACAACCCGGCATTTCTGGAGGGTCTGAGAGGATTCTGTTGAGGTGTCTTTGAAAAGGAAATAAAGAAGATCTGTGAGAGAGCATCATACCAGCATGCTTTAGAACTTCGTGGCTGTGCTCCTTGATTTTGAGTTGGAATTCTTGCAGTATTTTCTATTTGTCTTAGACTTACCTGTCGTTATATACTCATTCTTTATTTAATGTAAACTTGCAGATGTACATGTGTCTTCTTTATTCGAGTTAAACTGGTGAACAAATTTTAAAACTATAGATGCAGAGCTAGTTGTCTTTTGGCATATATCCTGAAAAAATAATTGTGGAGCTGGTTGCACAAAAGAAACATCTATTTAAACTCCCCTAAACTATAAAAGAGGAATTCATTCTTATTTTCTTTCCTGGAGGCAGTTCTGCGTACAGCAGGCCATGCAGGCCAGAAGTCCAACCTCAGAGTCGGTGAGTCTAGTGACAGTGCTAATGTGTGCTCCCAGAGGTCTAAGGCAGCCTGACCAACTTCTAATTAGTTCTCAACACAGACTGTTAAACCACTCTGATACTGTAAAATCCACACTTCATTATTTTAAGGCATCAGGAATCTCTTAGACATCTTTATTTTAAAAAGAAATAGTGATAGCAAAGTTAATTATTTGATCCCCTCCTCTTCTTAGAATAGTCCTCTTCCAGGGCAATGGTAATTAATAATCTGATGGCCCATGACAAGCAGGGTCCTATGGGGATGAGAAGGTAAGAGAGTCACTGGCTAATACACAGCAACAGTGTCTTCTGGACCATGTGTCCTGACTGTGTACATGGTATGCACAGGTGAAAAGATGAGCCCTGCCCTTTCTAATTCCACCTCTTAAAGCTCCAGGTAGTTTTAATACAATTTTGATCTTAATTATGTGAATGAAGATGTATATCATACCTAAAGATAACAGGGTAGCTTAACTGTCTCCTGAAATTCCCTGGGAAGTGCTAAGCCTTTCTTTGATTCTGGACTACTTTCAACTCTGTAGGGGTCTACAACTACCTCCATCCCCTTCTAGAATGCAGAAACTGTGAAAAAAATTTATTACCTTTGTATTAAAGAAAGCCTTATATATGTATTAGTCTGTATTTGTTACAAAACCAAACTTTAAGCCATAGCTGAAATTCACAAATATTTAAAGACCTAGAAATAATGGATAGACACAGAAATGTATGTAAATTATCTGATTTGCATGACTATATTGAAGAATAGCTTGGGTGTGTGGGAAGTACATCAGTCCATTGGAAATCCTGAACATTTTTCTTTCATGTACATTAGTTTGAAAGTATATTTATTATAGATGAACATTGAGAACACTTTGGATGTGACAGAATAAATATGACTAGTGTATATTCCATAAATTAAGGTTGATTTCAATGTATTATTTCATGGATAATAATCTAAATACAACATCATACATCATAAGCAACATCATTACATGAAATGGTCTACATATTAATATTTTCCCATGAACTGAATGAGTCTGATTTGAATTCAGCTCCCCTCTAATATCACATTCATACACCTTTAAAGAAAACAAACAAAACAGCAAGAGGCTGCAGCAATATTACAATTGGTGAAGTGCTTGTAGGGCCATTAGGAGGACTGGAGTTTGATCCTCAGCACTTGAGTGAAGAAGCATAACTTGGTGACACATGCTCATGATCTCAGCACTGAGGAGGTTGACACAGGTGGCTAACCAAGCCAGCCAGCCTAGCCTAATCTGCAAACCTGGGGTCCCAGTGAGGCAGCCTGTCTCTACAGAAAAATAAAAGAAACAAACAACATGGTGGAGGGATTCTGAGGCATGCCACCTGAGGTTAACTTCTGGCCTCCAAACATACGTATGTATGCATTTGTAAGTTCGTTCCCCAGTGAGAAGGCATACACACCTGCCCATACTATGTACACACTACGTATTGGCTTGATCAGTGAGCATCAGGAAATCTGTCAGCTACAGCCTTTCTTTCATATTAAAGCAAAAACACAGCTCTCTGGTTTCAGGCTACTGTGATCCCATAAATGAAGCTGAAAATGGAAAAACAATTTGCCTCTGCTGCCTAAAGTGCAAGACATTATTAAATTAGTAAAGCAAGAGGATGAGTTGGGTATGAAAAGTACTGATTTCAAAATTTAAAGAGAAATTTAGTATTAATAATATCCCCTGCTCCAACACAAATTTCATGGAAAAGGTAGTCCAGAGTCATTACTAATTGAGTTCTGCTTTTTCCCAGCAGTATATATATATATATATATATATATATATATATATATATATATATATTCACTAACAAACCGGCGAGAGTCTTTTTACAAGGTCCAATATAGCTGACAAATGTTAACTTAGAGAATAGCCCAAACGTTTGGAGGGGCTTCAGTGCCATGCCTCATGACACCCCCCACTGTTTGTATACCTGCATCATAGGAGTGATAAATCCAAGCCTCTTCCTTGTCGCAGGGAGGTGGAGTAAGCCAATTTCATGCTTTGTGTATGCTGGTTGTAAAAAGGAGTGCTTACCTAAAAAGAAATAGATTCAGACCAGATGTTCCTCAAATCTTCCTCAGCTGTTGCTGAAGCTTCACAGGCACCGAATACTTTATCTTCTTGTCTATCTTCTTCTAATTGAGAAATTGTTGATCCATGCAGTTCGACAGGCAGGCTGCTGCAAAAGCCTTCCTGCCACAGCTATTAAGCACTGCTCTCCAGCACACAGAATACTCCTAGTGTCTATATGGGGACTGAGCAAAAAGCAAGCGCAGGCCATCCCATTCAGCAGGTGTTGTGGGTTGAAAGAGGAGGTCAGAAAGCAATTCTTCAGAGGGCAGCTTCTGTCACCAGCAACTGTAATAAACTGCCATTATTGAAGTGCCTACAAAGCACTAATGAGCCATGTACACTGAAATCTTGATGTTAGGCAAAGCAGAATGAAACTCACCCAGGAACCAACTGATATTGTCACACTAAAATGTAGCTAATCATTCTCATTTTGATTTCATCATCTATCACAAAATTGTGTCCTTACAAGTGCACAGCTAACTTTGTCTTAAAGAAAAACAACAAATTCAACATAGTGTCTTAAGCCATTTGTTTAATGCTTTATCTAACAGGTTTTTAATCCCACAACACGTGTTAGTCACAATGATTTTTAAATTGTAAATTCGGATGGAACTCCCATAAATTTACTGGAGCATAATGAGAAACGTGGGCAGACACATCACTGACCTATACCTTGGGTTTTTAAAAAATATAACCTTGAATGCCTGATACTGAAATCTAACATTAAATTACAGTCATACTTTTTCTTTTGTTGAAAATAGGGTTTTCTTTCCTCATATAATATATCCTGATTACGATTTCCCTTCCCTCTACTCTTCCCAATTCCTCCCCACCTCTCCTTCCATTTGAATATTCCCCTTTCTATCTCTCACTACAAAACATAGAGACATCTAAGGGACAATTATATAATAAACATAATATAATAATGCAATGTAAGATAAAACAAACCCATTGGGACAGAGTTATGTATACTAAGAGGTGTGACTACCTGGCAGTCACCTGTATGTCTGCTTTACAAAGTTTTTAGCTCTTGCCCATTTGTAATTGGGTTACAGGTTTCCTTGGACTTGAATTGAGCTTTTCATGTATTAGATAATAAAACCTTATCAGATCCATAGTTTTAAAATATTTTGTCCAGTTACACAGTCTGTCTCTTAATGCATGTGTGGACACCTCTGTGATGCATACAAGTGTCTGTGTAACTGTGCATGGATGCCGGAGATTAATAACAGATGTTAGCTTTTTAAAATTAATTAACTTACTGACTGATTGCTACAGTGTCTCTCACTGAATTTGGAGCTCATAGATTTGCTGGACTTTCCTTTTTAAAAACAGGAGTTAAGATTTGTCTTGGTTCTTCATGTTTGCAGAACAGGAACTTTACCAATATGGCCAACCCCTAAGGTTACTGACTTGGCTTTTATATGTGGTATGAGGCAAGGTCTGAGTTTCACTCATTGGTATGTATCACCCATTGAGAAGCTTTTGCCCCATGTTCATGATATCTGTGTAGAAAACAAACCACTTCTAAGCATGTAGGTTATTTC